ACGAGGGGCCCTCAAGAAGCTGCGATGGCTGCCTACTTCCTAGACTTAAAGAGCTGGCACTCACTCGCCTCATCTCCTCCCATTCTCATGAATACTCTAGCTATAAAGAAACTCAATAGGACACAGATGAATCCAATGAGTAGAAGATGAACTCTACTGAGTTTTGGAATGCATAGTGCATTGGATTGGTCTAGGACATGAAACATAAGGGAGCTCTGTGGCGTAGTGCCTAAGGCATCTGACTGCTAACCAGAAGGCTGATGGTTCAAACCCACCAGCCACTCCTCGGAAGGAAGACTGGACAATCTACTTCCATAGAGATACTGCCTCAGAAACCCAAGGAGGGGTTGCTGTGAGTTGGAAACAACTTGACGGCAATGAGTTTGGTTTCATGAAACATAAACCTCCCATTGTAAACAGGAAGCTAGGTGCAAGTTCCTCTATAATATACTGTCCATTTACTCTATAGGCCAAGAAAGCTACTGGCCTCAGATGCCCATGTTCTTCAGTCACTGAGCTGACACCTTTAGGTTCCACCATACATCATAAATTATTCCTTTGGTGATGTGGAAGTAAGGCACCATCACCAGAGTGTATACCGTCATGGCTGATGCCATGTGCACCCAGGGCAGCTGGTTGGGCCATCTGAATACTAACAATGGGACTTGATACAAAGTCTCCATGTTGTTGTTGGTAGCAGGGGCAGCTCTCCAAGGCTGTAAATCTTTAGGGAAGCAGATTGCCTCATTTTTCTTCCACAGAGCAGCTCTGGTGGGTTCCAAGTGCCGATCTTTTGGTTAGCAGCCGAGTGCTTAACCCCTGTGCCATCAGGGCTCCTCATCTTAGCTCTACACCTGTCAAAATTTCTAGTCATCCTTCAATACCCAATGCAAATGCCATCTTCTCTGTGAATTCTTTGCTTGTCTGCCTCAGCTGTCTGCATGTGCTCCTCATGTCTCTATTACTGCCTTTATCATAATCTGGCACTTACTAGTTAGTTGGGTCCCTGTCTGTCTCCCTCCCTAGGACTGTGAACTCTTCTAAGGGCAGGGATTGTCTCCTTTTTCCATATTCTCAATGACAGAAACACAGGCTGTATCTAATAAACAAGCACTGGCTCAGGGAAGAGAGAAATCCTCAGGTCATTTTGACAGTAGCTTCCATGATGGTTCCTCATGAAATGAACAACTGTTTATGATTAGGTGTGCCTCAGCTAACAGACTCAACAAGGGAACTACTAGTACCCCTAACTAAGTCCAGACACCTGTGGCCCCAAATAAAGTATTAAAGGAAAAGATAATGCAAATGATAAAAGAAGTCTTGGACAGCTGGTTGGTGACTTGTTCTAGAAAGTTCCATTATGTTTCTACAACTGGAAACTGAACTGCCTGTTTAATTCCACTATTCAAAATTCCCTTCTGGGTTCCTACGTGTTCCAAACATGACAATCAGAGACCAGCCATCACCAGATAAAGGCTGAAGGGCAGAAATTCTCTCCAGCAAATACCTGCATCTGCGGAGTTGACCCATTCATCCATGGTAAGTGAGAGTGTCAGCAGCTCTCTTGTCTCTGTGAGGACTCTGGGAAAGGCAGACAGATAACCAGAAATTCCTGCCATCTCAGATTTGTATACACAGTCATACCAATGGCATCACAGACACAGCATTGGCATTTCTTCTTAGACACCATGCACACCATACATGCACCCACCACTGAACAGTGGGCATGGCTTGGAAACCAGACACAGTGTCAGAACAGGCACAGTGGAGCAAAAAGATGCTTCAGAGTGTGGGGAGTTGGTGCAGGGGCAGAGCAACTTCTGAGCACTTTTTTTTCAAAAGTGGTGACTCTTCGGACCATGAGATACATGGGAAGGTAGGCAAGAGTAGAAACTTTTTAAGGCTCACTCCCAATGGTGGTACAGATGGTTAAGTGGTTGACTACAAAACAAAAGGCTGGCAGTTCAAACCCATCACGAGATACCCCCAAAGAAAGGCCTGGTGATCTGCTTCCGAAATGTCAGAGCCATGAAATCCCTATGAGCGCAGTTCTACTCTGACATGCATGGGGTCACCATGAGTTGGAATGGACTCAAGAGCAACTGTGTTTTTGCTCCTTCAGTGGTAGAAGCTGGCTATGCTTTTGGGCAGTGGCCACAGTAACAAGATTCATTATTCTCAGGGAGAGAGGCAAATGCTTGAAGACTTTAGGATGTCCAGCATGACTCCTAGAACCTCTGGGTGGGAAAGCAGAAAGGAGAGGGGGTCGGCTGCTTCTGAGCCTCTAAGTCCACTTCTGAAAAGGATGCGTACACACACAGTGTAGGAGAAGCACTTAGCGGCAGCACCCAGGCACAGAGCAGACACTCTTTCTTTCCATTCTACAGAGAAACTAAGCCTTTAAAAATTGTGTCTTGCCACATTCTAAACAGGGACACCTGGCATATTTCAGATCAAAAGCCTTCTTATCCATAAAAATTCAGTAACACCTGATATGTTTCCTTTGGAGTTGTCCAGACAGAGGGTTGCAATAAATATATCCTGAAACTAGAAAAATTAGGCCAGCAGCTGTTTTTGAAAATTCTGCTCTGATACCCCACACATATAGTTTGTGTTAAGTCTATTTTTAATAGCTCCAACTGCCTGGTAATTCTCTTCCTGGATTTTGATACTCCTTAGCACACACTTAGATGGCGATGATGCAGTCTGCCTTTCTCCTCTCCACCAACATTTCTCTCTACTCGATGACATCTACACAGTGCCAGAGGTAACAACAAAGGTGGGTTTAAAAAAGCCACAACGAGCCAGAAGAAATGGAATTTCTCTGCGGATGGTGACTTCAACAGATAAATGAATGCTCAGAGAAAGAGGTCAAGACATTTTTAAAGGTGTAAACCAACAAAATGAGATAATGGGAGTTATTTGGAGAGAATCCAGGTGGAATTTGAAAAACACAAAGCCTGTTTAACTCAATATTGTCAAGTACACAAAGTCTATTTCAGTGTTTCCGCCAAGTGGTATTACCTTTATTTTCTCCTTTCCCCACAGCACCCAGTATGCTGAGAGGCAGGTAACATTATCCTTAAGGTCTTGGGGTCTCAGTCTGATATACCTGGGTTCAAATTCTAGTGCTAGAAGAGCTTATTACCTGTGCACTACTGGGCAAGTGATTTCATCTGTCACCTGTAGATAGCAATAGTACTCTCATCACCTAAGGATGTGGTTAGAATGAGAACTAAGATAATAGAACATGAACATAATTATCTAACATATGCTAACTGCTTGATAAATGTAAGCTATTATGGCTATTCAAGCTCTGGTGGTGCAGTGCCTAAGGCATCTGACTGCTAACCAGAGGGTTGGCAGTTCAAACCCAGCAGCTGCTCTGCAGAAGGAAGACAGGGCCATCTACTTCCATAAAGATTTACTGCCTCAGAAACCCCATGGGGTTGCTGTGAGTTGGAATCAACTCGATGGCATTGGATTTGGATTTTTTTTTTTCCTCCCAAAAGATGGCTCAGGCTTGGAGAAAGAAGAATGTGTTTAGGATTCAGACACCTTGTTCAAATGCAAATTATGCTGCTTACTCACTTTGGGACCTTGAAAAAGGTATTTAGCTTATCTAGGGCTTTACATTCTCTCATCTGTAAAATGAGATAAGAACATCTAATAGGATCTTTATCTACCTAATAGGATCTTCAAGAGAGTTAAAGAAAGTACATATATATATGGAGCCACCGCAAACTAAGGAGCTGTGGGGGTGCAGTCGTTGAAGCTTTCGGCTGCTAACTAAAAAGTCGGCAGTTTGAACCCATCAACCAGCCACGAGAGAAAGATGTGGCAGTCCCCTTCCGTAAAGATTTACAGACATGGAAACCCTGTGGTGCAGTTTTACTCTATCAGACTTGCTATGAGTCAGAATAGACTCAATGGCAGTGAGTTTTTGGTTTAGCACAGTACCTTCTCCCTCACTCACCATCCCAGACATTTTGAGGGAAGGATTTACTCAACACATTGTTCAGTCTTAATGACTGATGATGCTTTACAGTATCACTTCTCCCCAGGGTGTCTGAATTCTAACTAACTGGAAGAATGGCTCTCTAAATCCAGACTAGAGCAAGCTGGGGTGTGTGTGTGTACGGGGCATAGGGGTGACATGAAAGGAAGAACAGAAGCTGAACGAAGTAGTCATTTAGGCAAACTCCCTGAATCAGAGAAGCCAAGAACTTCTGCGTCAGGCTGGCCTGCCCACCATTACCCAGGGATTCCAGTGGCCCACGTCAACCCGTACTCTGAGGTCTACCTGACAGTGTTCCTACAGAGACTCCTTCTTGGGATCAGATCTGGCTCAAGACAGAATGAGGCGGCTGTCCCTCCCCGCAGAAGCCACAGGGTGCGTGCCAGTCCATTAGCACCCTCCCTCAAGGGCAGGCAGCAGCAGCACCATCACCCAAGCTCACAGTGTTCCATGAACTTTATCTGATTGACCCTCAAACAAGCTTATGGAGAGAACAGTAACAGTAATCCAGCTAGTGCTAGGCAGATTATAAAGCACTTTTTACATACGTAACATTGTGTACATGCCATTTTTGGTGGCTGCAGACACACTACAAATCAATCTACTGTTTCTTCCATCACATCTGAAAATGCTGACACTGCTTGTGGGACCTTACCAGACAGATTCCCAGGACTTCAAAACCTACATTCAGAGCTATTGATAATCAAGAAAGGATTTTTAAAAATTATCTGGGAGAAATAAAAAAAAGTAGTTAAGAGTCCCCAAACTCCACACATAGTTTCTTAGAGTTTAGGGAAATGTTGACTGGATCAGAGGATCATGATGATAATGATTTGTTATTCCTTTGTGAATATCAAATGCACTGGTTGAGTTTTAATTCTCACTGAAGTCCCAGGGAAGTATTCTAAGGCATGTTGATCAACTGCACTGTGACCAAGGGAGTTGTTTTCGAGCGCAGAAGTCAAGGGCTCCTAACACTTACATGTTCTTCTGAAGCATAGAGAACCTCCATTAGTCGCTGCACGAGGTCATCATTTTCCTGCCCATGTTCTTGGCAGAGTAGCTCAATCTCTCTCAACTTTCCAAAGTAGAAATCCCTTTCTTTTTCCACACCTTCAAGGGCCAGTTTTAATGAATGTACCTGCAAGGAAATGAGGGTGGGGAAGAAAAACCCCAAACATGTTAGAAAAAATAAGCAACCAACTATGCCTGTGTATGAAGACCCAAAATAAGAAACGAAAGAAGCAAAAATAAATGATGTACGAGCCCGAGGAGAGACAACAGGGCTGTTGTTTGGAGCTTGGGCCTGGGCCCAGATGTCCAATCTCATAACACACGACTCATTCCCTTCAGTCGATTGAGTGTTTATTGGCCAACGTCAGAATGGTCATTGTGCTGGACATAGTCCACCCACGCTCCCAGAAAGTGTTCTGCTCCCGCTAACACAGGCTAGAGCACATCTTCCACTGAACTTGTTCATAATCTGTAGGGAGAGGAGCTGAGAGAATGGGAAGAGGGAGGAGGGGTGAGAGAAAGGGTAAGGCTGTGGTTATGTCAGGCTTATCCTGAGGACTCTCTTTTCTATAGATCACTTGGATTAAGAGCCCTCCTTACTTTTGGGCCTGCTCACAAATGACACTGAGCCAAATGAGCCAAATGCTCTCTACCGAGAAACAGGCTCTTGGCAACACAAGGAAGAGTGGGTGAGAATGAAGCCTGGCTGAACAGCTGTGTCTTCATTTCTAGACTTCAGGCTTTGGGCATATTCCTGGAAGGGCAGGAAGATATGGAAGCTCCACAGTTTCACCAAAAAAAAAAGCCCTTATTCCCTCTTTTCTCCCCGCTTTCTAAGTTCAAGGAACTTCTGGGGCTATGAAGCTTCTCATAGTGATTACAGACCCAGTGCAAGAGAAGGAAAAGAGGCGACAGTTGAGGCCGACCCCAACACAGTTATCACTGGGGGCTGAAGAAACACTAATGGTGCACATGGATCCACTTTCAAAGCTCAGGCAGCTGCACTCCCACAGGCACTGCAGTCTCACACAGACCTAAACCCCAAGCCCTTTCCTGGGTCCTGAGATTCTCCCAAGTTTATCATACCGTGTGCATCAGAGAATATTCTTTACACAGAGAATACTCTTTAGGAGGTAAATTAAGTCTTTCATGGATCTCCTTACGTGAAATTTCTCTTTCACTATATTAAAAATCATCCTTAACAAAATTTGTAAAAGATTATGCTTGAATGCAAGATTTTCATCTATCTAATCATTCTGGGTCTTTATAAATGTTATTTACCTGTCTGAAATTATTGATTCATTCAAACAGGTATAGGGCACAGACCTTGTCTATCCCCTTCTTGCTCACTTGGCACACGCTCACCCATCCTGTCAGACTCAGGAACGTGGTCCCTCAGTGGGAATATCACCTCCATGTGGCCTGCTCCATCCTCTGAGTGCCCACCACCCTCTCCTTCCATCTCCGTGAGCGCAGTTTTCATTTCTGTGTTGCTGTTTGTCTGTTTACGTCTGTCTTTCCCACTAGATAATGGACAATTCAAGAACAGAGGAGGGTTTGGCACCTGTTGTTGTTAGGTGCCGTTGAGTTGGTTTCAACTCATAGCAACCCTATACGACAGAAGAGAACTACCCAACGGTTTTCTAGGCTGTCATCTTTACAGAAGCAGAACACCAGGTCTTTACCCTATGGAGCTACTGAATGAGTTTGAACCACCAATGTTTTGGGTAGCAGCCAAGTGCTTAACCATTGAGACATGCAGTTTGGCACTGGGTAGGAAAGCAAAACGAGTGAGTGCTCAATGAATGTGTGACTCCTTCTTGACTAAAACCCCTACTTCCTACTCACCTCTTCCATGCCCTGTAACTGCTCACTGACAACAGACTGATAAGAGTATATAGCTGTACTCTGAAGAAAATTTACTCAGAGATTTCCCCCACAAGCTGAAGCCAAATCTATTCAAAATTTAGCAGAACATGGTTTACAATTAATTTCTTTGAGCAGGATTACAATGGGTGTCTCACAGACACTTATTTCTAAAGCTGCTTTAACTATTTACTACTGGTAGAGTAAGGCTCACTTCCACTATTTATGTGACAAATTTATTTCCAGATTGAATGTATTATTCCTTCTAACAGTGACAGCCTCCTAGGAACTGTCCAGCGTGTGTGTGCATGTTATATATATGTATATATGTGTACATATATGTGTTTGTATGGATTTTAGACAACCGATAATCTTTGCAAAGCATTTGTACACTGCTTTATTTTTCTTCATAGCACTTATAGCAGCTGACATCTTTATAACTGTTTATTGTTTTCCCTTTAAAAAATGTAAGCTCCTTCGTGATACAGTTCTGCCCCCACTGTATCCCCAACTCTTACCACATGGCAGGTGTTAACAAGTATTGGTTGAATCAATTAACTCTTTTTATTTCACCGTTATCATGTTAAACTTGATTTTAAAACAATTGGATCCTGGTATAAGCAGTCTGTTAAACTGTCAAAAGCCCAGTGGATGAGCATCTATGACACTGCAGAGTCAAGAGATATTAGAATCTAGAGACATGTGTTGAGCAGCAACAACTATTAGAAATGGTTGCAATCTAATATAATGGGGTTTCACAAAGTTTGCAAGGGACCCAGGTTTTCTCCAGAGTCTGCTGGACCCAAACCCACAGCCACTGAGTCAATTCCAACTCAGAGAAACCTTACAGGACAGAAAAGAACTGTCCCGCAGGGTTTCTTTATGGAAGCAGACTGCCTCATATTTCTCCTAGGGAGCTGCTGGTAGGTTGGAACTACTGACCCATCTCTTGGAGGACACATAGTTAAACTCTCAGTGCTTCAAGAGAACAATTTATAGAGTAAGAATAAGAGCTTATACCGTGACTGTGAGAAGAATCTATTTCTAAGGAGCGTTATGCCACGATTCCACGCAAAGAGATTTTTCTCAGAAAATTATCAACTTCCCCTTCCTTAGCCCAGGGGTGCTGTTGGATAGAGCATTCTCCAAAAGGAAAATCTCTGCCATCACTTCTCTCTTTGGTCTGCAGAGACTCTGCAGAGGAAGGAGTCTCTCTCCCCTTCCCTGTCAGCTCCACATTTTCCCAACTGGTCCACTGACCCAAAGACTTAAAGAATCAAAACTATCTTCTCAGAGAAACCCACCCTCACAAAGCACTGGATGATCCATTTGCTAACTTTTAATTCCTACTATATTTTTGTTAAAGAGCTCTGGTGGTGCCGTGGTTAAGGCATTGGGCTGTTAACCAGAAGGTCGGAGGTTCAATCCCATCAGCCACTCTGTGGGAGAAAGATGAGGTAGTCTGCCTTAAAGATTTACAGGCTTGGAAACCCTAAGGGGATTGCTATGAGTTGGAATTGACTTGATGGCAGTGAGTTTGGTTCTTGTTTTTATATTTTTGTTAATACTGTAAAACTGAAGGCAGCCATCCTGAATTCCAGGAAAAAGAAAATTATCCTTATTCTATAAATCCTTTATTGGTTTAAAACTAACCAAGCACCTCTCTGGCCTTGACCACAGAATCCATCTTAAGTCTTGTGCTGGTGCCAACAGATGGGTTTGTGGCAGTTTATGGCATGCTGCCACTTCTTAGTTCTCCCTGCACCACCAGGCAAGGAATTTCTCTTGGACACACTCAACCCAGGAGAATGAGGTTTGCTGGCCTTCCAACAGTGCTTTGGCCTGCAGGATGAACAAACAGCTGGGGCTTTTATAGAAATACACAACCCAACTGGTGGTATTCCAGATGCATTAGATAATTGCTGCTCAGCTATAAACATTCCCTAGTAAAAGCCAATAGTAGCTAAATTATGTGATGAAAGATCAACTGGCAAACAAAATTCCAATTTCACAGTCCCATCACAAAGACCAACACAACTTGTTGTTGTTGTGTGCTGCTGAGTTGATTCTGACTCACAGTGACACTACAGGACAGAGATGAACTGCCCCATGGAGTTTCCTAGGCTGTAAAGGCAGCAGAGTGCTAGGTCTTTTCTCCCACATAGTGGCTACTGGATTAGAACTGCAGATCTTTTGGTTAGTAGCAGGGTGTTTAACCATTGTACCACCAGGGCTCCTAAGGCCACCCTAGTTCTTTCCATGTCATAGCAGAAGCCTAAGTAATGGAGATGCTGGAGATGGACTCTTGAGAAAAGTCAGGAGGGAAGGGGCCAGGAAGGGATACTGTCTTCTAATGATTCCCCAGACTCCTCTCAGTACGTCCATACGCTGTCAGTTCTCCCAGGCCTTGTAGTCTAGGTCACGAGCCACAGACTACAAGGGCTTGGGCTAACCAATGGCCACCTTCCACCCCTGCCAGTGGTCCTTACCACACCCCACTTGCTGACCCACTGTCCAGAAACAGTCCCCAGTTATTTTATTTATGTCTTCCTCCTCTATGTCCTTTGATTCATTTCTATCATTGGAATTGTCTAGCAGACAGACTGGTAGTTCTATATCATGGGAGGCTGCTTGAATAAAGGCATGAAGCCAAGCAAAGAAAATTCTTAAGGTTTATGGCACTTGTCACTGTCTGTATCAACTGTAATTCACTCTTCAACCTAAACATATTCCCTTACCCTTCCCTGGTCTTTGTATTCTCAAGGTGCAGCCTACTACTGCCTGTGGGGCTCTCGCCAGTGTCAAGGAGCTGCCCTCGTCAGCTTCAAGGGCAGAGAATGGAGGAAGCAGTAACAAATCACTAAGGAAAGGGATATGGAGTAAGAGCTTAGTACAAATTTGTTGAATTAATGATGCACAGTGTAGGTTGTTTGAAGACCCTCCCTCTGATGGACAGAGAAGGGGCAGACACACCCTAACTCAGTGCGGATGCATCATGAGGTATGTGGGATGTGAGGTTTTTTCAAATAATGAAGATCATTGGGCTGTTCCTCTCTTTCCACACCCTATTTTGTCTGAAGTGGCATTTTAGATGGCAGGATGATTTAGTTGAATCATTTTAGAGGTCTGAAACCTCTGGGGGTGTATGGGGCCCTTTGTGTGATTTGGAGAGCTAACGGCCTAGAGATGGCCCCAAGGAGAAGAACTGGGGCTGGAGAGAGGGTTAGAAAGGACCCTGAAGTTTCCATGTGGTTATAATTTGGGTGGGAGTGTTGGGAACTGGGATATGGTGGAGGGGGAAGACAGAGAGAAACGGAAGGAGTGGAGTCATGAAGAAATGAGATAATAAAGTAAGATATTAAGTCCAGAGCAGAGAAGATGGATGAAAATCAAAGACACAAGGAAACAATGAGTCCAAAGGACTAATGGACCACGTGATTCTAGCTTCCAGGACTGCCAACCACTCTGAAAGGGATCACAATAGGAGGTTCCAGACAGAGTGGAAGAAAAATGTGGAACAAAACTCAAAATCATAAAAAAGACCAGCCTTACTGGTCTGATAAGAGACTGATGGAACCCCCGAGACAATGGTCCTTAGACACCCTTCAGGCCTGGAACTGAACTCACCTCCATGGCTCAACTTTCAGCCAAATGATAGGTCTTTCTATAAGGTGAACAATAACACCAGGGAGATATGCACTCATTAGAACAATCAACCATATGAAATCGAAAGGGCAGCATCTGCTCAGGGATAAGCTAAGAAGGCAGGAAGGGATAGGAAAAAAAGACAAAGGGAAATGGTAAACACAGGGAGGAAGTGGGAAGAGTGCTGTTACATTGTGGGGACTGCAATGAATGTTATAAAACGCATATGAAATGTTGAATGGCACACCAATCTGCTCTGTAAAATTTCACCCAAATCAAAATTAAAAAAAAAAAAAAAGAATGTGAGTTTCCAAGGAGACAAGAGGTGTAAATTACAAATCCAAAGTATTATAGACCCAGTGCCCAACTCTTTAGGTCTACTTCGATTTCTTTGGCACCTCAGGCACGTGTCCAAGGCTCATATGGCTGTCTTAATTGCCTTTTAATCTGAGATGAATTTACTACTAGAAACTCTAAATGCGCTCAGACTGAGAATTACTAGGTAATTAGAACATTCAACTGTTTCTAAATCAGAGTCCTGCCCACTGGATGACTTCAGGCTTTATCTTTTTCATTAAAGTGATCAGAATGGTAAAGAAACACCCTAGTTAAGCAACTGCATGCTTTTAAAGTAGTGTCTTTATTGCAAATATACAATTATCTCGAAAATGGTTTCCAGACTCTTGCTGGCTCATCAAGAACAAGATTAATCACCTGGAATGGCCTCGTAAGTGGCTGGGAAAAGCCCCAACACCTCCTCCCTAAGTGGAAGCAACCAGGATGAAAGACTGCTTCTCCGACACAGGATGTGGTTAGGTGACCTCTGAGTGGGCTCTATTCCACCAACTGTTTATCACTTTCAAACTACATATAACCTTAGGTGGAGTCCCTGGGTGGACTGTCAATGTGCTCCGTTGATAACCAAAAGTGTGGAGGCTTCAGTCCACCCAGAGGCGCCTCAGAAGAAAGACTTGGCAATCCACTTCCAAAAAATCAGCCACTGAAGCCCCTATGGCGCACGATTCTATCTCTGACGCTCATGAGGTTGTCATGCATCAGAGTGGACTTGTTTTAAAATCTTAGGCAAAATTAGTTATTGTTTGTTGAAAAGCACACCTAAGCTTTTTGTATTGAAAATTTCAAAGATAGTAGAGCTGGCTTTACTGTAATCATGAGGAAAGTTAGATAAACAGGGAAGATCTACTAAAACACAACTGTAGCCTTCTGACCCCCAATACTGGGTTCAGCTCTCCTGCAGCACTGAACTTCTCCACTGTGGGAAGTATGAGATTTTTGTTTTTCTTGTGTAATAGCCTATTGTGTGCAACTGCTGTATTGATCTGGCTCATCATTAATTCACCAGCATCAAGCCCAGTATCTGGCACATACCAAAAAACCAAACCAAACCCACTGCCACTGGGTCGATTCCAACTCACAACAACCCCCACTGGGTTTCTGAGGCAGTAAATCTTTAAGGAAGTAGAATGCCTGGTCTTCCTTCCATGGAGTAAGTCTGAACTGCCAACCTTCTGGTTAGTAGTCAAATGTCTTAGGCACTGCGCCACATAGAACAGGCTTAATAAACAGTTGTTGAAAGAAAGAAAAGAGAGGAAGTGAGGGAGACAGACTAACCCTAGACCAACTTTTAACACTCTCTAAACTGGTCACATGGGCCCAAAAGGCCATGATCTAGCTTGGAGTTCACGATGGTCACTGAAGAGAGGAGAGGGGAGGCTGGCTTGCAAGGCTGCATTTACTAGTACTCAGCCATTTGTTTTTCTGTCCCCTGTGATCGTCATCTTCTATTCATAACAGTACCCCTGATTCTGCCTCACCCCCACCCCCGGCCTTATCTCAGGCCTATAGGGTTCTGGTCCCTCACCCTTTAGAAACCTACCACTGTTCCCAGAGACAGAGTTGGGGATGATGCATTACCTGCTCATTAAGCTGTATGACTTGTGTTTCTAAATCTTTATCAGATTTGGATGCTGAGCTGCTGGACGAAGCCCTTTTGGCTGATGAGGGACGAGAAGGTGTGGATCCAGGTTTAGATGCCGGACTTGATTTAGCTGCACCTGAAAGCAACCAGAATGAATTATATACATTGGTAATATTAAAAATACCTTTGTTGTTGTTGTTATGCACCGTCAAGTCGGACCTGACTCATAGCGACCCCTCCTTGGGTTTCCGAGGCAGTATCGCTACAGAAGTAGATTGCCCCATCTTCCTTCCGAGAAAAATAGCTTTAGATACCCACTAAATATATGGCATAAAAGGGATTCATTAAAAAGTACAAGAGACTCCCAGGGCTCCCTTTCCATTATAGAAACAGCATATATTTGGAAGGAGTGCCTTAGTTAACTTTTCTCAGCACTTTTTTTCCCCCTCAAGTTACATATCCCTTCTTCCTCCAGAAAGATGAGAAACAGATACAAAGGGATTTTATGCTTAAGAGGGAAGGTTTTTAGATAAATTCAAAGCATCACCATAATTGAATTTCTAACAAACAAGAGAACAGACCTTATAACAGATTTACAGGTCTTTATGCTTTAAGAGAAATGTCAATATAAATGTATGTTTCTTGAACACATTCCCTAGCTTTAGTCACTGAAAAAGCCAGGAGGAGTGGCATCTCAATAGCAGTCTGTACTCTTGGTGTCCAAATCTTGGTTTCTAAATGCCATTCTGCACTAATGGGGCTTAATCTGAGGGATGGGGCAGGGAAAGTACAAGATGAGCCTGGAATATTTTATTATAAAGCACCAAATAAACAAGAATCCATGTGTCCATTAAGATACAAAAAAAGAGAGAGAACAAGATACATGTCGAGGTATTACCCTATACGTTATATATTATTATATATATTATTATACTTTATGCTATTATAAAGGGAAAAATGCACCTTCACAATAGGAGGTTCTGGGTACCAGCATCTTAACTAAGCAATCCAACTTAATATCACTAATGGTAATATACATATGGCAGACCATTGCTTCCAGGCAAGACCTCCCTATATGAAGCTCAGTTCATGATGGAATCGTACAATCTAGAATATGGTACAGACACAGGAAATATCTGTAGCCAAAACTGATACCACAAAGCATATGCGGTGAAGCTTGTATCTTGTATGGATTAAGGGATTCAGGACTGTTCTTGGGAGCCCAGTTCCCTTTTCTCTGAACATAGTCCTGATAAGGTGACAGACAGCTCAGTTTCTGACCATTCCTTCAGTCTAGTGTAGATGTTCCCATTGGTCCAATCTCTACCACACCCACTTCTCCCCATTTCTGGCAGGCTCCTGGAGGGCAAGGATCACATCTGTGGAACCCAGGTGCTTAGCACAATGCTAGGTGGAACATATAATTGGTGAATAAATACATTTAAATAAATATGTGAACAAATAAATAAATCTCAGATATATGGTTTCCAATTTCACCATTTATCACTAATTATAGATTACAAAAAAGCAAAGAGTTATGAGGGCAACTATGCTAATTGCAGTTACAAGTTTCAACCATTACCTTAATTACAAAGTAGCAAACAAGAAGACTATAAAATTTATATTTATATGTCTTCAGTGCCTGGAGAAGACATCTGTTAGAGATGCTAAAGTCATATACGCCCTTAATAAGCACTGACAACACTAAGCCTTTTAAAACACGTCTCTGTTACTAAGGGGGAAATAAAAAAAGATTTTTCTTCTTTAAAATACAGGGAAATGCCTAATACACTTTACAGTGAGAATGATTAGATTGGGAATGACTTACAGTAATTGAAATGTAAATCCTCAGTGACCCTGACACCTCACCTATGCAGAACTTGACGCTTTCCTTTATTCGGGATTAGTACAGAGTTTAGGCACTGACGGGTCAGAGGTGGAATTCTCGCCTTTCAAACTGGGGACCCTGTTTGATTCCCAGCCAAGGCACCCATCTTGTCAGTGAAGGCTTTCCTGTTGCTATGATGATGAACAAGCCTCTGTGGAGCTTCCAGAAGAAGACAGACTAGGAACAAAGGCCTGCAGGTCCACTTCTGAAGTCAGCTAATGCAAACCCTGTGGATCAGGACAATTCGATCTGTAAGACCATGGGGACGAGGTAGAACTGGGCAGCATTTCTTTCCATGGTGTGTGGGGTCATCAGAGTTGTGGCCAACTCAAGGGCGACTAACAACAGCAGCATATGGTTACAAGGATTCTTCATCTCTGTGGATGCTTAGATACGACATTCCTGAAGCATAATCTCTCTGCTCCATCAGCTGCGTTATCTAACCAAAGGTCAAATCAACAGGGCAAAGATAACAATAGGCCAATGAGACGGGTACACAGGGCTGGGAAATGCCAACCTGCCAAAGAGCCTTCCTCAGAAAGCAGCCTTCAACACAGCTGGGAAAGCAGCTTTTGAAAACTCATTCCTTCAGACCATTTTATAAGTAACATATCATATTTTAATATAAAGAAAGTCTAACAAAAAGTAGCTCAAATCATAGCAGACACAGTTACAGATACTTCTGAGATATAACCAAGCACATTGCGAGACTGGTTTTCTGGGTCTGAAGGCTTAGGACCTTAGTCTCATGGGACAACTCAGTCAACCGCCATCATATCGTTCACGAAGTTTATGTGTTCTGTACCCTAGTGAGAGGAGTAACATCCAGGGTCTTAAAAACTTGTGAGCAGCTATCTAAGATACAACTACTAGTCTCCACTTATCAGGAGCAAACAAGAAAGAAAGAAACCAAAGTTCCAGGGAATAAACTAGTCTACAAGTAGGCTAACAGCCTCAGGTAGGCTGGGACTAGAACTAGATGGTGCCTGACTACCCCTACTGACTGTTCTGATTAAGGCCACAATAGACAGATTCTGAAGAATGGGAGAAAAATGTGGAACAGAACCCAAATTCTAAAAAACTCCAGACTTGCTGGACGACTTAAAACTAGAGGACTCCCCAAGACTATTGCCCGGAGATGTTCTTTAAACCTTGAACCTAAAACTATCCCCTGAGGTTACTTTTTAGCAAAATAAAGGATATTATCTATGAGTATGGTGCTCCATTAAAACACAATTGCTTTAAAGCAAAGGTGAGAAGATAAAGGGCAGGGAAACTAGAGCACTGGAAACAGAACAACCAGAATGCAATGAAAGAGAAAGTGGACACACTGTGAAAAATGTAACATCACCAAACAACTTGTATAGAAATTGTGAAATGGGTACCTAATTTGCTGTGTAACCTTACACCAAAACCACAATTATCTGTAAAGACAAAAAAGGGCAGTTCAAAGACTGCCTATGATGAGCACCTCTTATTTATTTAATTAATACATAGTTATTAAGGGTGATGGAACAATTTGAAAATTAAGAGTGGTGATAGTTGTACAACATGATGAATATAATTAATATCACTGAGTTATATGCATAAAATATGATGAAATGGCAAATGCTTTGTTTTACTCACATATATATATATATTCACCACAATATGAAATACATATTTATTAAGAACCTAATATGAGTCATATTACTGTATGTTCCCATGTTCTGGGAATAAGAAGATGGAGAAGACACAAAATCTCTGCTTTCCAGGAGCTCATAGTCTCATGGGAGCAAAATAGTCACCTAAGAATCCCTATGCATGGCCACCCTCAAGATCTCAAGAACAAGTTATGGGACCGCAAAATGTGACCTGGGCTGTATTCCCTCTGTCTGAAACATACTCCCTCCTGCTATCTACAGAATAAACAATAGTAGACAATATCCTAAAAAACAAAACAACAGCCACTGCTATCAATTCCAACTCATAGTGACCCTACAGGACAGAGCAGAACTGCCCCGTAGGGTTTCCAAGGCTGTAAATCTTTACAGAAGCAGACTGTCACATCTTTATTTCAGAGAGTGGCTGGTGGGTTTGAACTGCCTTCCTTTTGATTAGTAGCTGAGTGATTAACCACTGCACCACCAAGGCTCCTAATATCCTAAAGTACATTTTTTAATATAGTTGACTATCCCACTTACCCAAGCCTCTATTATAAGATGTTATTTAAAACTTAGACAGTTATCAACTCCCAGTAAATTGAACATCGATATAACACTTTTTATGTAAGCTACCATTTGTATTCCAATTTTGGAAAGTGACCCAATAATGGCTTTGTTAAAGCATAAAGATGTCACTCTGAAGACTAAGATGCACCTAATCCAAGCCATGATATTTTCAATAGCTTCGTATGCATGTGAGAGCCGGACAATGGATAAGGAAGACCGAAGAAGAACTGATGTATCTGAATTATGATGTTAGCAAAGAATATTGAATGTACCTTGAACTACTAGAATGAACAAATCTGTCCTGGAAGAAAGAGCCAGAAAGCTCCTTAGACATAAGAATGGTCAGACTTTGTCTCTTCTGCTTTGGTCATGTTGTCAGAAGGGACCAGTCCCTTGAGAAGGGTATCATGTTTGGAAAAGTAGGAGGTCAGCAAAAAAGAGGAAGATTCTCAATGAGGTGGACTGACACGGTGGCTGCAACAAGGGGCTCAAGCACACAAAGGATTGTGAGGACAGCGCAGCAGTGGGCAATGTTTTACTCTGATGCACAAAGGGCCGCTATGAGTTGGAACCAACCCAATAGCACCTAACAACAACAACCATTTGTATTCCAATTTTGCAAAGTGACCTAAAAAAGTCCTTTATGGCATCAAATCCTGGGTTCAAATCCTGGGGCCCTCACTAGCTGCCTTCTTGACTTCTAGGATCCCCTTACTCTGCAACGATTTCACTTCTGTATCTTCTTATGCATCGTTCAATCCTGCTTATGTGAAAAACATTTACAAAATGGCTTTTAAAGAGAGTGCAGTTACTCTGGTGATAATACAGATATAGATTTGTTCTTGCAGCTATCAAACATTTCTATTTTTTTTTTCAAGCAGCATTTGATGATGTCCTGAAAATATAATTAGTGGTAGCCCTGTTTTACAAGCAGTTGTTTTGCCTTCAAGCTTTTCTCTTTCTCCTTAATTTTCCCTTTCAACGTAAGGAGTTTCAGAAGCAGAGGAAAGTAGACATAAATTCTATACAAGTCCCTGT